ATAATATAAAAATTTATTTAGTGAATTTTATCCACATGCATTTGATAATATAAAAATTTATTTAGTGAATTTTATCCACACGCATTTGAGCACACACGATTACACTTTGTGCATGTATAATTTTTTTGTTTTTTTCAAAATAAATATTATCATTATAAAATTTATATAATTTTTGTAGTAGTTGGAATTTTGCGGGTGTTGAATCATAACAATAATTAAATTAATAATTGATACACTTTAAGTAATAATATATATTCTTTTAAAAATAAATATCATCATTATAAAATTTAAAATAAATTTTATATTAATTATAATTTTATAACTATTAAATAATTAATTTAGTTTTTACACAACTAATTGATATGCTTTAAATAATATGTTCAATTAATTGTTTTTAATTTTATAAATATATCTCTTTAATTTTTTATCTAGTATTTTTGTTCATTATTTATTTTATTTTAATGACAAATTTTATTATATAAATTTTTTAAATAATAAAATTAAAATTTTATATAATTTATAAAAAATAAATTTTTGGTATGTGCGCAATTCTTCTTCAAAACCCCGTTGTCCGCCGAGACAGATCGCAACTCATGGCTGAAGCACCTTCTGCCCTCCGTATTGTTCTTAACCAGCCGGTGAAAGAGCTTGCGTCCGTACAAGCATCAAGCCATGGCGATCGAAACCGAATTATCGTAAGATTTCCTGCCAGCAACTGTTCTTAATGCCATGAATGATAGTAGATGTGAATATTTGTTTGTGATCCTAGAGGCCCTGCTTTGTCTTCTTCATAATCTCCGTCATTTTCAAAAATTTTCTCTCCATGCTTTCTTATTCTGTACTTAATTTCGAGTGAAAGGGTTAAACAAACTATCCTCCCGTTTGGGAACAGCATCGTAATTTTCGTGTTAAACCTTACCTGCAAATAGGAAGGTGTGGATTTCATCGTTATGTTTGCGCTAGAAAGAGCTCTAATGATGGATGATGAACTTTAGAATGGAAAATATAGAACTAGGTTACGTTTTCCTTGTGGAAGCCGAATGAGGGTGCAAGTGAGTGTGGAGGTTTGGCGTGTGGTGGTGGCTGGGGCATTGATTAGGATTTCATACTTTTCTAGATTATCCTGTGCTAGTGATTCTTTTGAATCGATTTGCAACTTTAGTATGAGGTACTGTGTATGGTTTTTGTAGGAATTGGCAAAAAGGGGTAAATCAGTATTATTTAAAATTGACATAAGTAAAAAAGAAATAAAAAATTGCAGCGACCGAATGGAGGTGCCAGAGCAATCAAAGCTAGGCTGATTGGAGTATGCCCAACTAGAGTTAAGAATGGGCTTATTCAAGTATTATGAGTTACATGTCTTGGATTTGTGTAAAGACTTTGAAAAACCTCAAATTTATGCATGTTTTCTTCAGATGGATGTTTTATTGATAATCTTGTTGATAGACGTGGAGGTAAACATCTAGGGTTACCATTTTGCTGGCTGATCGTTTGTAGACCCATCTTGTTTGTTTTGTGCTGGCAGAGCTGCCCTTCAATCCATGCAGGGATTTGGATGCTTCTAATACAATAAAATTTAAACTTTTTCAAGTGTAAGAATGAAATGACTTTATGGTGATTTTTCTTCTTGCATTTAGTCACTTCATATGTTGAGTAAGATTTTAGTATTTTCTTGATACTAATGTAACCTGGATTGCAGTTTTGACCTTCTCATAATTTTTCTTGTGAGATTTATGCTAATAAATGAAAATTTAGTTGATGATCTATTCCTCATTTTGTTTTTTTTTTCAGGAAGTATTTAGAAATGCCATCTTACGGCCAGGTTTGCCAGAAAATTTTGCACTTCAGGTTGTGCAAGAAGCTATGAAGCCTCAGGTATTTTTGGTAATTAACAAAGCACACACAAAGTGCTAAATCCTACCTATAGTTTCTTATACTTGTTTTCTAATTGTTTTTTTTTGTTGCATTTTAAAGCTTACTATTTCATGCTTTTACCTGCAAACATTTCCGCATGTTTAATTGTATGTACTACTTTAAGAGCCTATTTGGGATAAATTTAATATTTTGTTTTTTTTTTCTTTTATTTAAAGAAAATGATTGTTTTGTGCGCTTTTTACATATTTTTATATTTTGTTTCTAGAAACAAATTAATATATTTCTTAAAATACTCAAAATAAGTTTTAGGTGTTTTAAAAAAACAATCACATTTTAATCAAATAAGTCATACATGTTTTTGTTTCAAATCTAAACATTAAAAAAAAAGAAATAAATTATAAAAGTGATTCCAAACAACCCAAGTAAATGATGTTATTTGCTAACAAGTTTGTCACATGCTTTGTTGGATATGCTGAAAATAATTGATGTCAATTGCCTTCTGCATTTGGAAATAACTGATCCTTATGCATGGTTGCATGCGCATAGTGACAAATTCTTCTATGCTACTTTTAATCAGCTTTATCTTCTTATATATTGGCAAGTTCTTTTTGCAACGCCATAGAAAATTATTTTGCACTCTTATTTAAGTGCATTATTGTTATTTGTAGTAATAATAATAATTTTATAATTATTTATGAAATACTTGATGAAACATGGCAGAAGCAAACTGTGTTGGTCCTGGATGAGAACCAATCTTTGGAAAATGCTGTTCGAACTTTGCTTCAGGATCTAGTGGTAAGCTTCCATCTAACGTCCATTTTTATTAACAAAGGGACTTTTCAAGGTGAATCTATATAATACTAGAAGAGGAAATTTGATATTGTTTTACACTTATCTAAAATTTGAATGTGAATCTGTTCAAATTTTATAATTATGTCTGTAATAAACTCAAAGATTCTTGCTTGCTACATATCTATTTTAAAATCAAAACATCATTATTATATTTTCTCTTGATACCTTGGTAGTAATTTTACTTTAACAAAAAAATTCTGTTGCATGAAAGTATTCAATACAGATCATACTACATTTGATGTTGGAGTGGTTCTACAATCCCCGCTTACACGTGATCAGGCTCAGGACAGAATCTTGGCCGGTAGAACTTGCTAACATTGTGTGATTTTCTCACATATTGACTGTTGGCAAGTCTTGTGGGCTCCCTTTGTATAATATTTGAAATAGAGTTAGGGTTAATTCGCTTGTCAGCTATTTATATGTTGTAATTTCTGGTTGTGGGATACTTGCTTTTGGTTTATGCATTTAGAGAACGTTTTTTTTTAATATTTTTTGCCCTAAAGAGAGCTGTATTCTTTTTCTTTTGCAAGTGTTGTGTTTGTAGCTTATTTGGGAATAGGTGGTGGATCTCCCTCGGCAGCCGTGCCTTGCCGAAGTAATTATTTTGCTGTTTTCTTTACTGTGTTCAGTTCGGACAACCACCAAACTTCTCTAATGCATTTCCAAACCTTGCCGACTTTGCATATTCTCTTTTTATTACTATTTCATAATCAATCTCTGCAAAATCTGATCTTTAAGGGGTTGTTTGTTTAAGTGAATTAGTGGTGTACTCTAATTCTGTTGCGGAGATTTGAGAAAATTATGTGTTTGGTTTGAAAAATTACAAATACAATGTAAAGTTTGAATAAATTTGAAGTTTACATCGTAGTTCATTTTAACTGAATTTAAAATTCAATCGATATGACCGAATTTGAAGTACACCATTCATGTAAAATGCTATATGGCCGCCGCGTCGCCGCTCGCCGCCATCTCCGGCCCCCCGCTGCCGCCGCCGTGCAAATTGAGATCCTACATCAATAATAATGGCTCATTGTATTTGAGGAAAGATAACCGTAAGAGGTTTAGTTATAGCTATAATGATGACTTGTTAGATCAAAGGGAAGGAAGATAATCCCTTCCATTAAAAAAGTTCAGCGATAAAGAACCGATAAATGGCTTAGCCGAGAGGAAAAACCGTCACCTCCTTGACGTTACTCGCTCCGTTATGTTTCACTCCAATGTCCCAAAAATTTTTTTGAATGATGCAATTCTAACTTCCACTTATCTCATAAATAGAGTCCCCTCCAAAGTTCACAAGTTCCGACTTCCCTTAGCCGTCCTGATGTCATGCTTCTCTACCAATCGGGTTTTCTCCACATTAGATCTTAAGGTTTTTGGGTGCACAACCTTTGTTCGGAACATTGCTCTTACTTGGAGTAAACTTGATCTCGGATCTATAAAAAGTATCTTCTTTAGATACCCCTCAACTCAAAAGGGGTATGAATGTCTTGATCCGAACACAAACAAAGTCTATGTGGGTGCTGATGTCTCATTTGAAAGTGTTTCCTATTTTTCTAGCTCGACCTATAGTGAGGGGGAGCTTGGGTTAACCGACATTGCCCCTAATCCTGCTCTTATAAATAGTCATCCCGTTGTCCTATCAGTAAGGAGTCACCTGTCGCATTGAATGCACAATTTTTCCTCCCATTGTTCGTGTGTACACTAGACGTACTAATCCCAATACTCCTACTCCGGATCTTTCTACCTCCTTACAGGATCATGATTCCACTTCGGATGACATCCTCAGCATGACCCCTCTTTTGAATGAGGTGAGTTCTCCGAGTAAGGTACGCAATTAGACACTCGCTCTTTTATATGGCAAAATTTATCTCTTTCCACATTTTCTCGCCGACCTATAGAACATTTGCTACTGTGCTGACGGACCATCAGATCTCTGCCACTATTGAGGTTGTTCTTGCCGACCCAGCCTGAAAAATGACTGTAATGAAGGAGATGAATGCTCTTTTAGATGAACCATGCGTGAGATGTTGTGGTCTTTCCTTGAGGTAAGAAAGCTGTAGAGTGTCAATGAATTTTCAACACCAAATTCAACTCTGACGGGTCCTTTGAATGCAACAAGGCAAGATTATTCGTCAAAGGATACGTCAAAGGATACTCTCAGACATATGAAGTTGACTATGAGGAGACATCTACTCTAGCGGCTAAGTTGAACACTATTCGATTTTTGTTGTCACTTTCGGTGAATTTGGATTGACCTTCATTCCAACTTGATGTCAAGGATGCATTCTTGAATGGAGAGATGATAAAAGAGGTGTACATGTCTCTCCCTCCGGTTTTTGATTCTATTGCCTGTAGAGGACAATTGAGTAGGCTACGAAAATCTCTCCATGTGCTAAAGTAGTCCCCAAGAGCCTGGTTTGACAAGTTCACAAAGGTGGTCGTGGGCCATGGTTTTACTCAAGCTCAATCGAATCACACCATCTTCTTCTGGCATTCCTTCAATGACCAGACAACTATTCTTATTGTTGATGTTGACGATTTTGTTCTTATAGGTAACTATCTTCCAACATTGGAGTTCTTAAAAGACATCCTTCATCCTTTAAGATAAAAGACTTGGGATCTCTTCGGTACTTTTTAGACATGAAAGTTGCTCGGTTTTCTTGGGGAATCTGCCTGTCTCAGTGCAAATATATGATTGATCTTGTGATAAAGAATAACCTTTTTATGTGCAAACCCATTATTGTTCCAATGGATCCTAATGAAAAATTATCTGACATTCCCAATGCTGTACTTGTCAACAAGACTCATTACCAACGCCTTGTGGGAAAATTTGTCTACCTCATTCATACTCGCTCCGACATATGCCATGCAGTTGGAATGATGAGACAATTCTCGCATGACTCTTACGAGCACTATCTTCAAGCTATCCACTGGATTCTCCAATACTTACAAGTTACACCGGGTTCAGGTTTTTCTTCCACCACACCTCTAGGTCTATTGCGGTGCATATAGATGCTGACTGGGCCGGATCAATTCATGATTGGCGTTCCATCTCGGGGTATTTCTTATTTGTACGAGACAATCTTGTCATGTGGAAAAAGTAAAAAACAGTCTGTGGTTGCCTGAAGCAGTGTTGAAGTTGAATTCTGATTTATGTTCTTAGGAATTTGTGAAGCTCTGTGATCATGTATCGTGCTCAGTGAACTTTGTACGCCAATCTCTGTTCTGCTGCAACTATTCTGTGATAATAAGTCTACAATCAATATTGTTCACAATCCGATTCAACATGATCATACCAAACATGTGAAAATCGATAGACATTTCATTAAGGAAAAGATTGAGTTTGGGGAGATTTGCATTCCATATGTGCCCTCCACTAGCCAACTAGCAGACACCTCACCAAGTCTCTAATTTGTTTTTTGTTTGATGACTTTAAGTCCAAGTTAAACATGACTGATATCTGTCCTTCAACTTGAAGGGGAGTATTAAATTATACCATTATCACTTATTATTTGATTTTTTTCCCTGATTATATTTTTCCTCTTTTGTTTTATTTTGTTTTTTTTTCTTATTATTTTATTCTATTTTTATTGTTTTTCATTATTATGCATATTGTAATTGGGTTTAAAAACCCCTCCTATCAATAAAAGTGTGCTGATTTTATTCTGAATCTCAACAGAAGTACATACAATTCTTTAAAGAGAAGTGATTATAATCATTTCTTGCAAAATCTTGGATAGGGCAACACATGGACTTGTGGCTTTACACCTTCCTTGTTGAATTTTGCCCCTTGGTAATCTGTGGGATGGTGGATTCCATATATGGATGCAACAGGAGGCTTGCTTATTTCTTTTTCACATCCTGCAGTTTTCCAACACTAACTAATTGGGGGTTTCACTCATGAATTCTTTATTGACATTAATTCCCGCTAAATTTTATGGGTATTAACCCTTATTTATGGAAATCTTGATCATCTATTTCTGTTCATGTTATTTTTGTTTTAACCTTTCACATTGATCTTACCCTCATATCTTTTTGTATGCACTTTGTTGTATGTGCACCTTGAACTTAAATGTATGTGCTGTAACTTTATATTTCTTAGCCATTGCTAAGATACACTCCTACAATGATGATTTCTTATTGTGTCCATCCTAATCTAAACTCACATTCATTTTCATTATTGCCATTTGTGCTAATCTCAACTTAGTGATTATTTCAACCGCCATGAAGATTTTTATGGGATGTCAGGATTTTTTATGAAATAATCAAGTTTTGATTCTTATGCACTTTGTTGTATGTGCAACAGTCAGCCCCGTCTTATTTTTTAATCTTCTTATGCTGTACGTAATAAGAAAAATTATATCAGTCAAAATTACAACTGGATAACTGCACACAGAAAAATAAAGGGACTAAGGATGCTTTCTCATGACGGAGAATCATTGTTTTTTGTTATAAATATGGAAGTAAAATTATTCTTCCAAATCATTTTAACCAAACCATAGGTAAAATTTGGAAAATTTGATCTAAACATTATTTTGTTTTTGTTTGGTAGTTGCAAAATCTTAGAAAATATTCTAGTTTAATTTTCCTCTTCGATCTGCTGTAAAATGATGTACAATTGGGAATTTTACTATATTTTCTTACGGACACAAATATAATTTTGTTGAAATGTTTAGTCAGCAGCGGTTAATTTGGGCGAAAGGACCATGCAGTATGGACAACAAATTGATAATGAACAAAGCAGCTGTGGTTACATACCACGCCTTCTAGGTGTGTAACTATATTTTCATTATAGCCATTTAATTACACTCAATTCAACATCTCCATCCTCCTTTTTGTTGCTTGTTAGACATTGTTCTCTTTCTCTGTGAAAGAGGGCATATTGAGGGAGGTATGATATTTCAACTGCTTGAAGACTTGACAGAAATGTCAACTATGAGGGATTGCAAACAAGTTTTTGGCTATATCGAGAGCAAGCAAGATACACTAGGGAAGGTAGATGCTTAGAAGTCCTGAAATAACCATTATTGTTGATGGAGCTAGATTTTTCATTATTTCAAGCATGCAGTTGCTGTGTTGCAGCAAGAGTTATTTGGGAGAGGTAAGCTTGTGATGCTGAGAACTTGCAATCAACTTCTTCGGAGACTCTCAAAGGTATCCTTAAAAGTATTAAACAATTTTTTTAAGGGGCCTTTACATAAATACCACCCAATTCCTCTATATTTGCATATCTAGCGCCTAAACTTTACTTCTTACTTTTATACTTCCCAAATCTTTCATATCACATAAAAAATATCACTAATTTAACTTTTAAAATGTGAAATACACCTTTTTATGAATTGTTAAGGTGACGTCTATGTAAAAATTGAATTTTGGGTGTTATATATGTAAATACATCTGAATTGAGTGGCATGTATGTTGTTCTTTCTTTTTGCAATCGTCACATGGCAATGCTTCTTTGCTGATGATGTTTACAGGCTAAGTTAACTTTGTTATTTATTAAATTTTATTCATCAAAAACAGATTCCAAACTATTATCATTTGTCATTCTGTCAAGTCAGTTTCCAAAGAAATAGAAGCCAGCTGCCAAGTAATATAGTTATTATTCTCGTTATTGTAATTTATGTGACATGCAGATGTGATGTTGAGGAATGCAGATAAAATGGAAGTTGAGTTTGTCAGTGTCTTGTTATTGTGACCATCTATCTTTTTTTATTTGAAATGCTTAAGTTGTCTAATATTCATGTCAATTGAGTTTTGTATTTTATGCTATAATTAAACAGCGAAGATCTCAAACAAATAAATTTCATCACGTTGACGGTTTAAGAGAGGGTTTAGTCGTAACAATTAGGTTACTGAAGCTAGTATGTATGAAGTTGAATCATAACAAGAACTATTGTCCTAAAACAAAGAGGTTACATGTGCAGACCCCTCCCTAATCTTGTAAGTTGGAGCCTATGGATTGTGCATGTCTTTTATCCTACATGTTTAGGTAGGTGCTTAATGATGACACTTCTCTCAATTTCATGAAATTTTGAACTATGAAGCCGCTTTTGTAGGCTCATTTAGGTAACATTGCTTATTATTATTAAGTAATACTATTATTTTTCCTGAATACTCTTCTATTAAAGATTTCTGAAAGCATGCACGACATCAAAGAATTTATTTTTTTAGCCAATGGTTGCCCTCCATATTCTTGGCTCAGTTGGATCTTTGTTTTATTTTATGCAAACTTTAGAATTTGTTCTAAGGCCTTTTTTTATCCTCTTGCAATATTTTCCTTTTTCTTTGATGGCTTAGTTATCTTCCAGGCAAATGATGTTGTGTTTTGTGGGCGCATTCTTATGTTCCTTGCTCATTTCTTTCCTTTGTCTGAACGATCAGGTATCTCTCACTCCCTGCAATATCCCTAACGTCACTCTATCTTCGCCCTAACTTCACAATAGTAATATGTGATTAACTTTTGCAGCGGTTAATTTCAAAGGGGTTTTTAACATATCAAATGAAACCAAGTATGAAAAAGACGGTTCTGATGGTAAGAAATATGTTTCTCTTTAATCTCACTGCTTGCTGTTATGAGTTGCTTTTATATCACTACCAAATGCTTGTCATCTGCATTTCAATTAATGAAAAAAAACGCCACTTTGATGTCTCAGGAGTCTCTATTGATTTCAACTTTTACAAGACCTTTTGGAGCTTGCAGGTAAGGTTCACTTTGGTTTTTTACTTAGATAGAGAGCCTTCCCAGTAATCCCTGTTTCCTTTTCAAGTGATTTGATGAGACAAGTTTTACTGTTAGGCCCATCAAACAAAAAGCAAAATTCTTGTCTTAAAAAATGTGATAATAGATTGATAGCAGAGAAATAAGCTCCTTATAGCATAATGCTGTAATCTTAGGATGTGATTTCTAATTTTCATTTAAGTTGACATTGATCGATGTAGGAGAATCATATCTGATGAAGCAACAGACAAGTGAAATATAATATTAATCTGACTGGATGTGCCTAAATAATGATGGCTTAATAATTTAACAAAATCTTTTATCTCTGGGAATTGAAGGCCCAAAGGGTTATTGAGAATGAATGACTTGAATCCAATCTAATAAACTCTAGGTTGTCTTATTTCATTTTATTATTATTATTTTTTATAATAAAAAAGAAAAAAAAGAGCTTAATTTAATCTTGTGTGGATAATATCATGAGATTACCTGCTTACATTGATGTATTTCTTGTAAGAATCTTGGATGGACATTTCATGCTAATGTTACTAGATACTTACACTAACCTAGTGATGTAGGATGTCTTAGGGCTAGAGTTTTTAATGTGGATTTGAGATGAAATGGAAACAATGCTACAAACATGAATCCAATTTAATAAATTCTAAGGTCGTCTTATTTCATTTTATTATTATTATTATTATTATTATTTTAAAAGAAGTGAAAAAAACTTATTTTAATCTTGTGTGGATAATATCTTAATATTAAGTGCTTACATTGATGTGTTTATTGTAACCTTAGCATGCTAATGTTACTAGATGCTTACACTAATGTATTCATGTAGGACGTCATTGGGCTAGAGTTTTTAATGTAAACTTGAGATGAAATGGAAACAATGCTATAAACATGAAAATTCGTAAGACAATCTATTAATTTAAAACAAGAAGTTTCTACCTTTGATGAAATTTTAAAAAAGAGGGTCCAACTTGGACAGAAGATTTCTTGCTTTCTACCATAAATTAAGTCTAGAAAATTAATGATCACCAAAGTCGCACACTTTGGGGTCTGAAAGTTTGAGCCCAACCCTCTTGAGAGATATGTAGTTCTAGTTTAAATTTTTAGCAGACATATTAGATTTTTCGATAATACAGTACTTAAGATTTCGCTTTCATTTTGTTTGCCATAGATGTAAGCTTCTATGATTAATTCTCTCGATAAGAGATAAATGTCGATTAGAAGTTCTTTTTAGGTAGACAATGCTTAGCATATAACATCAACAAATTTGATTTTTGATTAAGAAATTTACCGCCATCAACTTAGACTGTATGATGGTGGCATTTGACGACAGACCGACCAAAATCTTAAAATTTTTTAATTTTGGGTTGTTATAGTCTCTAGTTTTACTTAGACGAGGCAACCTACCCAATATGATTGAAGGAACTTTGTAGCGACAACGAGTTATACCATTCAAGGGAAAATTATAGAACAGGCTTGGAGGCTTCTTTGAAAGTATATCTTCAAGACTTCAAGTTGATCTTAGCTAAGAGTGCTTATGACTTTTGAAAGGCACCCTATGATTTACAACTTACTGGGGTTGTGCTATTGGGGAACATACTGGTTTTGATCATGATCACATTATCCACTCAATTAAAGTGCTTTGTTATTAACTGCTCTTTTCTTGGTGGCATATAAGAACAAATCCTATTTTTTTTTAAATAGATGTCACACTTTTACCGGTGTGAGAACTTTTGAGATTGACCATAAAGATACGTTTAATGGCATTGGCTTTTTGTGAACTAAGGTTATTTATATTTGTCATTCTCTTCATAAGATTGAGATTGAGAGGAATGGTTGAAGTTTGTTTTTAGTTTAAGCAATAAATTTCTTTTGAATATTATGAATATTGTAATTTTGTAAGATTTTAGTATTTTGATTTGAACTTGAGATGATTTGCATTGGGATTCATGAGCATTTTAAAACTAGAATTATCTGCGATTGAGATTTGTTTTCAGCAATGCCATCATCGGAATATTTAAATTGCCAAATTTTATTGTTTGGACTTCACTATTCAATTTTGTTTATGGTGGTTTGAGTTTATAATTTACATTAATTGAGCATTTTTAATTATTGTTTTTTCTTACAAACATTGTTTACTCTACCCTCATTTGTAGAGGATTGGGTCTGCCGATGGGGATTTACGTTCTAATCATAAATTTAAAATCATGACTTGAAATCATTGCTTTATTGCAATTCTTTTGCAAATTTATAGTTTGGATATCTTTTGCGAGCTTATGTTTTGCCAACTCTATTCTTCGGATGTGGAGAATCAGACTAGGTAAAATTTACGACCTTATCTTATAGGCAAAGCAGTTCATTTGAGAGCATGCATGTAACATGGCGATGATTGTAATTTAATCGTGAAAAAGAGAAGTTTGAATTTTCAAAATAGTTACATGCCCCTCAAGATTGAGCAAATTTTAATTAATATTATCTTTTAATTCGCATTGCATTCTAAGACTTTTAATTAAAGCATTTAGCTTATTAATTAGAGCATGTAGAGATATGTTTGATTAAATAGACTTTAGTATAATTTAGAGAACTGTCACGACCCGACCCGGGGCTTACCAAAGCGGGTATAGACGGCCAGATGATGTAAATTAAATTTTCCATACAATTTAAAAGATGAAAAGAGCCACTATAAATTAAATTAAAGCAGTACAATTAAAATTACCTTGTTGACGGTTGTCTGCATTTTCTATAAACGTTTTCTCGTCTATTGCTCATCTTTTAATAGTTTAATTAAACATAAAAAGTTAGTTAAAACAACTGTGATCTAAACGAACCAGTGAATATTCATACTTCTAAACTAAAATAATACAAGGATAATAAATAATAATATGCATCCCAGTTAAAATTCTTTATAAATCAATATAAATATTTGTCATGCTATAAAATGAGTCTATATTATTCTCATATTAATATCATTTCATGTATATATAACTGTTACAAGAGACACCTTTTACAAATTGTGTCAACTAAGACATTAATATCAATATCATTTTCTATTTTTTTGCACGGATACATTAGTGTTCTCTCACTAGTACCATTAAGGGGTGTTTCATCTTAGTCAGTCATGCACATACAAAAATTCAACATAAACATATATATTAATCACATTCAATCATACTATATAAAACATACACTAGAATACTTGAGTAATTAACAACAACATTCGCAACGATATGACCAATAAAGAAAATAATAGCTCAATCAAAACAAAATATCCACAAATTTCATCAAATGTAAACATATTTGAGAAGAAACAAATTATTACTATAACTTAAAATTACAAGTACACACCTTAATATTGATTATTTGTGTTGAATTTGCCTTGATGTCAATTCCTAAAAAAAAATGTTGTATTCTTATTTTTAAAAATTAGTTTTATTGATTATATTATTATATAAATCTAATAATTTATTGTATTTTAATTAATTATTAACTTTACATTAATTAAGTATAAGATTTTCATTATTTTACCTTATATAATCATGTTTTTATTCAATATATATATGTATAAATTGTTTTATTAAGTTATAAAACTTACCTTCCTTGATCGAATTCCAGACACACACACACACGCAGCCGAGGCTTCGGCTCTCCCGCACAGTTCTCCTTCCTCACGTTGCCTCATTTGACATTTACACCAGACGTCGCCTTCGTCTCCCCTCTTCCGCTTAACGTTGACGTTCGCCGTCCCCCGCTAGGTGAAAACCCTAGTGTCACGTTTTCGCTCGACAGGTCCTCCCGCGACATCTTTCTCTCTATAGGTTTCTTCTTCCTCCTCAGCTCTCTGATTGCATTCCTGTCTCACATGCAATTTATAGGACAAATTCCCTTCTTCGACTTCCGCCTCTCTTCATTTCCTCTCCCATTGTTCGACTGCTCGACCCTTCGCTTCATCTTCTTCGCTTCTTTGTTTCCTCTTCTGTTTGTTCATTTATTCTTCCCCGATTCTTCATTTCTCTCCCACCATAACTCAAACGAGACTATTACAATCTTCTCCGCTTACAAAAAATTTCGTCTTAGAAATTTAAAATAACGAACTGCACATCACAACTCTTAAGCATTTTCTATTGGACAATCTTCTAAAATTTTGGTTATAGCTCTATGATATGCTTATTAATTTGAATTTTTAATTAATTAATTTTTTATTATCTTATAATAATTCTATTGACTCTTTCATTACAATTACATTAACTAGTCTTACACCATGAACTCTGATACCATTTTTTATCACGACCCGATCCAGGGCTTGAAATTAACCAAGGGGGTACAGAGGGTCGAACGTTGTGAATTGAATTTTCTATACAATTTAACAGATGAAAATAACCATTGCAAATTAAATTAAAACGATATACTTAAAATTACTTTGTTGATGTTTATCTACATCTTCTATAAACGTTTTCCTGTATATCGCTCATCTTTTAATAGTTTAATTAAACCCGAAAGGTTAGTTAAACAACAGTGAGCTAAACGAGCTAGGAATACTCATATTTCTAAACTACATCAATATAAGAATAAGACAAAACAATATGCATTTCAGTTAAGTTTTTTATAAATCAATATAAACATTTGTTTTGTTATAAATGTGGTATATATTATTATCATATCAATACAACCGTTGCATGAAACACTGCCTAAAAATTATGTCAATTAAGACACATCAATATTAATGTCGTTTTCTATTGACGTGTACGGGTACATTAGTATTCTCCTACCAGTACCATCAAGTGATGCTCGTTTATAGTCAGTCATGCACATACAAACATCAACATAAACATATATATTAATCACATTCAATCATATTATATAAAATATATACTAAAATGCTTGAATAAATAGTTACAATATTCACAACGATATGACCAATAAAGAAAAGAATAACTCTATTAGAATAAAACATGCACAAATATTGTCAACTGCAA